CAGGAATGCTTTCATTTCTCTGGTTATTTTATCTTGACACTAAAATGCTTTTATTTCAAAATAGTTACGTAAAGGGGAAAAAAGTTACCTGAAACTCTCACAAGTCTGTCAAAACAGCCTTTCCTAACCCAACATTTTCAGCAACACTTTTAATCTATCCTAGTTATAAAATACTTGGATATTCTTACCTACTTTCCCAAGATGGCAAAATACAAGGCTGCTTGTTAACAGGCTTTCAATTGCTGTAGAGCAATGATGCAATTAGGCAAAAAGAAATGGCAACACAAATGGCTCTGATACTTGCATTTTGCAAATTTTAGATACTGAAAGTATTCTACTACTGCAGGTGGAAATCCCTGCAGACTTCAATTGAATTTTTACTGCATAAGGTCACGTTTAAGCTCAGAGTTAATCAAAGAGAAACAAAAACCTAACCAAACACCTCATTGATAAAAATCCCAGGAATAGACAGGTAGAACTAGTTTAGTTGGAAGAGTTACACCTGTTTCACCAGCCATGGCTTCAACCTGTTTGCCTGTTAAACTTTAAAAAAACCAGAATATATGTAGCACTTCAAGGAAACACTACTCTTCATCTTCCTGTTCGGCAATAAATGACAGACATTTTTTTTTTCTATCTTGATTCTAATATATTAGATTAAAAAAAAGGTAGCAGATACGAAAATGAAGTTCAGTCACATGGAAGACAGGAAGGATGATAATCCAGATATGAATACTTGCTGTGTTTTTGGGATAACTACAAAAATCCCATTCGGACTGAATCAAAACCAAGCACTGGTTACTTTTGAAGATGAAGAAGGTATGATGCATATTTTAAATAGAAAATTAATGTCTCTGATATATTTTTGTTGCCAAAGGGAAAAGATTTACGTAAACATTTTGGAAAATAAACCCCCAACAACAGCCAAAGAAAGAACACACAGAGAACCATTCACTATTATGATACCAATCAGTAGAAGAAAATTCTTGCTAGGGCTCTGCATGTTTTTGTTGGATTACCAGACTTCTGCTCTCAGCTAATACAAACAGTACTTTGTGTTTGAAATCGGGAATATGTTTCTACCTCACAGAGTATTGTCGAGATTGATTCAAAATGTTTTGACAGCAGAACTTGATTATTTTCTTTATGCTGGGCAGTACCTTATTCCGACAGCCGTTACGTTGGTCCAGTGTACACATCAGGTGATGGGTAAAGGTGAGACGAGAGAGGGCTGGTGCAGTCTGCAACTTGCTTGCTTCCCACAGAGATGCTTGCTGTTTGGACAGCCTGGTGCCTGCCTGCAAGGAGCCTGTGGGCAGTCTGGCTGGGCCAGTCGGTGCGTAACTCGGTTACGCAAGAATATTGCGGCTCCAAAGCTGGTGTCCGATGCATTTCCTTCAGCCAGGATCTAACATTGCTGATAGGCATTCTCTGCACCTGGCAGCGACATGGCTTTCATCCAAGGATGTTTTAAGTGAAATATGACAAGTCTAGTATTAATGCTTGATACAGTAAGAGCATCTTTTGACAGCATAAATAGCCTACTATTCTGTACTGTGCTGAAGATAGTATACTGTTTTACCTCTTGCCTATAACCAGTGAGATTTGATGGAAATAGACATGCCTGAAGACATGGATAGTGGGATCTGGTTGCCTGTTATTTATTTCTCCTTTATTGATGCAAAAAGAGATTTTGCTTAAGGGACCAGGGAATAGTTTTGGTTCTGTAGTGATTAAACAAGGCTTTTCATGTCTGAAAACTTGTGATTTTCCTTAGTTGCCCAGAGACTGATAAAAATGGGGAAGCATACGGTGAACCTGGACAACAAAAAAATGGACATGAGAGTGAAGCCTTTTACACTTGAAATGGGAATCAAATTTACGGTAATCAACTGAAATATGAAACTATAAAGATACAAACTTGCAGCACTTAAAAAGCTTTAGGTTCAATTTTTGGATTGTTTTTAGTCACAAAGTGCACAAAAAATTTATTTGTTTTTAGCTCAAAGTCACTATTTCTGGAAAGAGGGTGAACATTTCAGAAGTACCTGAGCTATCCATTCCCGAAGACTGGATGAGAGACAAACTAGAGCTGAATTTCTACAAATCTGAACAGGGAGGAGGAGGAGAAGTAGAGGATGTGAAGTATCACAAGCAGTCTAGATCAGCTGTTGTTACGTTCCTCAGACCCGGAGGTACAGTATGTAATACTCTGTCAGCTAGATGTACAGGCCGTATCGTCCACTCTGTGTTACATTCCATTCCATATTACATTCCCTGTTAACTTGACCACTGAATGTAACAAATTCTTCCCACGGAGAGTTAAGTAGATCAGGAAAAGATGTGGGTTCACCCACACATCTCTAAATAAAGCAGTATTTCATCATATTCCTTTTTCATCAAATATGACCTGCTACGCAGTTTGTGAGTTTACTTTCTTTGGGAAAAAAAAAGAGCCCAATTTTTTTCTTTGCATTGCTAGACACTCGTATTGCAAAAAGAAAATTAGGAAAATGTGTTTGATTTTAGCTCTTGTTTCATGACAATGAAGTTAGACAGGCATTCAGATTGCCCAACTGTATGAAATTCTGCAAAGATCAGTGGAGCCACATCCATTTAGAGCAGCTGCTTTAGATTTATTTCAGAAGCTCCTGTGGGTATTTAATGATTTTGCTTTTTTGGAAATGCCAAATAAATTTTTTTCTTTCCCAAAATCCATATGAAGAATCTACATGTGTGCTGTCATATATTAGTTTCTAAATCCGTCTAAGATCAGTCTGTTCTTTGGTATGCTTACAAAATGCATTTTAGATTATATTACTCTTCCTCTCCTTTTTCTCCTTCTGCATTACAGCAGCTAACAACGTTCTGAGATGTAATAAATATCCTTTCTTTGTAAATGGAAAGTGCTATGGACTTTCTGTGTCCCCAGACCTCGACGTTTACATGGAAAGGTTTCAGGTAAAAGAATCTAGTCCCAGCTAACCCCTAAATAAAACAGATACGTGGGGAATACGCAATAGGGTTAGAATTTTCAGTTCTGAGGACCACAGAAGCTTTTGTGTCACACACTTTGTGAAACTTAATAGCAAGTGTGAGCCTGCAGTATGCTGCTCTGCTGATAATCTTATGTTTTGCAGTGTGAAAGCTATAATTTATTTTAAAAGGGTGTTCGTATCTTTCCATGAGCAAATGGTATCATTACTTACCATAATGTCTGTGCGAGACAGGAGGCAGATACCGGACTGTTTGTGAAGTGAAGCAGGTTAATAGTAGACACGACAATGTTTTTCCTAGTCCCCAAAGCACTGTAGCATTCATCCCTAATGAGAGGCCTTGTTGATAGTCAGCAGACCCTTGTTCTATGGAATGTTTGCTCATTCGTTTTTTTCATTCATTCATTCATTCATTCATTCATACATCCCAAATGATGACTTCTTTTCCTAGTCTGCTTACTCATCATATTCTTACTGAAGTTGGCTTTTACCTTGTATGAATAGATTGTAATCAAGTCAGTATTGTGTATATAATCAGGCCTTTATAATTAAAGCATTGACTAAAGCGTGTTCATTTATGAGATACAACAGCTTTCTTTGCAGGTGTGTATCATGCATCGGCATGGATTTTTATGGAGCGATGCTGTTTAGAGGCATCAGAGATCCCCAGATCCAGGGGCGGTGTGCTTTAAGGAGCACGGGACACACCGGTTAAGGAAGCTAGGTGCATTGCCTATGGAACTCTGTAGTGGTAGAGTTCAGAACTGCTGTTTTCAGTGACAGACATATACCACACTGCCCCAATTCTTAAAACATAATCACAGATCCTAGACCTATCTGGTCAAGGATGTGTTTATTTCCAGTATCTGTCAGTTCCTTTAGATGTATGTGCAACAGCCGATGTGTAATACAGGTTTGTTTTTCCTTCCTCACCAGATCTATTGTGGGATTTCTAAGAAGACCATTCTGTTGAAAGGAATTCAAGAGATGGAAGACGATGAAGAAAGTATACAGGACATGATTGAAATTCATTTTCAAAAGCCTAGTAATAGTGGTGGGGAAATAGAGAATATCAAATATGTATCAAAAGGAGTAACATGGGTTTGGTTTGAGGAGGATACCTAGAATGCTGTATAGAAAATCATAGACTAAACTCATGAAGTTCTGAGGGTTTTCTTCATCTGAGGCATAGGAAGTTAAGCAGACATTATACTTTAATGCTCTGAAATTTATACGTGAAAAAGAGGAACTACCTGTCTTTCTGATTTGTGTAACGCCGCAGATTTTGCATAGAAATTCAGTAAAACTGACCGCTTGGTGTTCCAGCGGTTCCTGATGGAAGTAATAGAAAAAACCTTTACCAGCACATAAAACTTAACCTACGATGGCTTTCTGCAGATCTGCAGATTTTGTATCTTGCAAATTTGAGATAGATCGCACACTCCAAAGTGGGGTAGAACTATTCCTTCTTACATTTTCCTTACAAAAGCCATATGTAATCCCACTGAAAAGCGTCGTCACAGACCTGCTTTTTTAAAGTGCCGCAGCTTTGGAAGGTGGCTCTGAGAGAACTCCCATCCTGCCGAGGTTCCCGTGTGCCACCGCAACGCAAACACCTGGAAGCGATTATGCTGTGATTTTGTAAAATCTGCTCGATCAAGTTAGTGATAAAGTTACAGTGGAAAAAGGCAACGGGGGAGTGCAAAAGCACCTCAGATTTCCTCAAGAAATTGTGCCTTAGAAGAAAAGCCATAGCTGTAATAATGCTTTTAGCTGCTGAGAAGCTGTTAGTTCTCCTAGGATCTGATGCAAATTCTCCTGAGCTTCTGGTAACTTAATAGCCTGGTTTACCGACTCGTTTAATATTTGTTTCTACAATGACATTTTTCCTCATTTTTGTTCATTATTTTGCTCACTTGAAAATATTACACTTAAGAATTGAGCCGATTCTTCATCAAAAACAGATTGCTAGGGAATGATGCCGGGGAAACAGGCTGGTGGTGAACGCTGGTGTCTGAGGCATCGTGTCTTGTTGCGTGCGACTGGCCAGGCTGCTGGCTCCGGGAGGGTACGTGGAAAGGCATGGGTTGGAAAAAGGCATACAGAGTTTAGGGCAAATTAATTTCCCAGCATGTTAAGTCCCACTTTTGCTTCCAGTTCATCCTTCCAGTTTTCATTCTAAAAGTTCTTTGAAATAAAATGGAAGTGCAAAGTCAGAGAAGGATTTATTTCCCAAGAAGGAATGTTTTTGTCTTTTCTGCTGTGGTCCTTTTTGTTTCCTGCCCTCGGGGGCTGAAATGGTTTGGCAACAATAATCTCAACTTCAAAGCAGAATGGGTCCAACATTGAAAATAACTGAATTTTCATAGTATTTGACATCTTAGTATGCAGGAAAAGGATGGTGCACCAAACTAGTGCAAGAAGAGCACTGCAGATACACCTCAGGTATTACTACTACTCTAGAGAAACTCTTAATGCAGATACACCTCAGGTATTACTACTCTAGAGAAACTCTTAACAGGCAATAGATATGGTTGAACATGGGAAACTGGAAGGCTTCTAGCACCACAGCTGATACTGAATTTACTGCTGGGTGAGATACACGTGACTGTAGCACCTCTTACTGTTTAGAGCATGCAAAGGCATGGATCGATGCCTGACAATTATGGAATAATTATAAGAAATAGTAGTAGCACTGGAGTATTTATGGAGATTCCGTACTTTTCATGTAATAGTCTTAAAAATGTTGGTAAGATCAGATGCCTTAAAAAGAAACTTGATCAAGATAAAACATGTCATGAATTTTAACCATACCTCACTGATAAATGTTGAGAAGTAGATCCCTTAAAAAGGGAAAAGTTTAAAATTCTCATCAGGTATCACAGTGCGTGGGAGTAGTGAGAAGCCACAGATTTTAAGGACATAAAATCAAGATGAGATTTTAAGTTAGATTTTAAGACAATCAATGTAAATGTCTTGGTTTTCTCTCTAATTGATTATACTGTTTAAATTTCAACGCAATGGTGGTGCCGCATAAAGGCTGGAAAACACTTTTAAGGGTGAAAAACAAGCATATAGCATTTAGGTGTCGTTTCTGTTAAGGGAAATAGGCTTTTTTCTACCTACTGGAGGGAACTGATCCCTGAAGTTGGCTGAAGAGCCGTGATCTTTTTATACCTGTACTACGTACAAGTTCTTGACGCTTTCATAAACGCAGCTGCCACCGGGAGCCAAACCTCAGCGTGGAGCCAGC